ATTTTAAGATTCTTTTATTTGTTTTTAAGTCTTTAAATGGTCTGGCCCCCCTTTATCTTACAGAATTGCTGCATCCCTATAGCCCCTCTCGGTGCCTCAGATCAGCTGATCAGCTGCTCTTGGAGACACCGAGGGCTAGGCGGAGACTTAGGGGGGACAGAGCATTCTCTGTGGGGGCTCCTAAGTTGTGGAATGTATTGCCCCTTTACATTAGGCAGGCCCCCTCGTTATCCACTTTTAAAACTTATTTGAAGACTCATCTGTACCGTTTGGCGTTCGAACCAGTATGAGCCTCTGTCTTGTTGAGCTTTTAGGTTTTATGATGGGTGGTTGTTTTAGTGTGATCCTGTTTTATTGCTGTGTTTATTGCTTCTGCTTGTTTTATTGTGTTTTAACGGGTTTTAGTGATATTGTGTTAAGCAATTTGGTCAGCTTCGGCTGTGTTAAACGTGCTATATAAATAAAGTTGATGATGATGATGATATGATGATACCATTTTTGAAGCAATGCAATCACTACTCAACTGATGTGTGCCATGACAACTTGACAGGGGGCAGAGCCTAGACAAACGCATGTCATGACAGGTTTCATACAATACAATGTGATCACACTGGCAAAGGTTCTTGTGATGTACCATGAGTAATTTGCTTCGCATGTTTACCAATGTTCAGAAGCTTCAAAAAGATACAATAACATATTATTGCTCCTGCTCCTGCTCTACTCTACTCTACTCTACTCATTATATTGTCTTCTGTAAACACATTGTTGTAACACTGATATTATTAGCAGTGTGACTATCTTGAGAACAATCCCCAGGTGGGCTAACGTGGAATCATTCAAAGAAACACTGGGTAGTCAGTAGCAGCATGAGCCATAATGAGCAGCTACTGGCTTTACTGTGTAACAGTGAATGATGTATTTGGAAGGATCAATGATCTGTCATCACCAATGATATTCCAAGAAAACAAAAATTAATGTTGCAAATTTAAGTTTTAAATTCCTACTTGTAAGCTCCTTTGGTGCAAAGCAGCCTTTCTTTGATCCACAGGGATATGATTTTCCTTATATGTCAGAAATGTTTGATTGGCACATGCTAAGTTTGTTCCTTCTGCCCCTTGCTGCTTTTTTCTGTTAATGGATTTAAATAGATCAATTCAGATGAAGATAATGATAAAGATGTGGATAGCCCACAGAGAACAGGGTATCAGAGAAAGAACTCTATGTGATTGGAGTAGCTGTGGGTAAATGTGATGAATGATGAAAATGGGGCAAGTACAGAGCCTAAGGTACATTACCAGACTGTATGTGACAAACAAAGAAAAGGGAAGCACACGGTGCCAGGGTGGACTGATAAATGAACCATAGATCATCAGCCCCATGTCCTTAATCAGAAAGGATAAAGGTTATTTTCAGAATAGACTGAGAGACAGAGAGAGAACCTTGATTCAAAGCAAATGACAGCTGGCTTGCATGCTTCTGTGCACTTTCAGCATAATGAAGTAACACAGTGTAAAAGGTGTGGAGTAGTAGAGAAAAGAGCGGTGGGACCTTAAACATGTCCCCATCAGCTCAGAGCAATAAGCCATTCCTCACCAGACAAGCTTTATACCACACTTTTCATGCTGTTTGCTGTGGATGTAAATATACAAAGACTAGTCTCATGATGGTGTTCATAACACAGAGATGTTTATATAAATGCTATCATGTTGCATCATCTGTTGCTGTATATGCTGTGCACAAGCTGGCTTTTTGTTTGACAAATTATTATTTATGCTCACATGTCCAATTCTGGCTTCTACAATCAAAATGTTACACATTCAAATTATATATACCCCTGGATTAGTTTCTTACACCAATTAGCACTTGTATGTTCTCATGCAATAGAAAGAGAAACTGTGCCTGGCTGGGATTTTCACTCTCTCATTACCCTCTCATCTCACATAGTTAGCAAACCTACAAGCACAAAGAAGCAGCCATAATTTTAATAGGTCTCCCATATGACATGCTGGCCTGCACTGTGGTCAGTTTAATATGGGTAAAAAAAAGCCTCTGAAATCAAGGATCAACATCTCTAAAACTGTCAGAGGCAGGAGTTGCAATGTGTGAAGGCTGAAAAAAATGCATGGGCTAAAACATTTCCTTCCAATCTCTCTCTCTCTCTCTCTCTCTCTCAAACACACACACACACACACACACACACACACACACACACACACACACACACACACACACACACTGCGTTTTCATTCCTTGTGTGGACTTTACATTGACTTACAGACATTTCCTGTAGACTTATCCTAACCTTAACCATAACCACTACTTGACTAACACCTAACCCTGACCATAACGCTTAACCTAATACCTAACCTCATCCTAACCCTAAACCTATTTGCCACCCTAAAATTCAGTGATTTCCTTGTGGGGACTAGCTTCTGGTCCCCACAAGGATGGCCAAGTCCCCACAGTGTGAGTGTGTTAACAGGCTTTGTTCCTCATGATGTAATACAAAGGCACACGCACACACCTAGACACACACACCTACACACATGAATCCTTATGTTTGTCACTTAGGAGGTCTCATTGACACATCTATTTCCTGGAGACACATCCTAACCTAAGTTTAACCCCAGCTTAACCTTACTTTAACATTTAAGTTGTCTAAGTGAAACTCAACAATTTACTCTGTGAGCACCAGTATCTGGTTCGTGTGAGGAAGGTGAGTTCCCACAATGTTAGTGGGTTGCACAGAAAAACAACCCCCCCGGGGGATTTCACTTGTGAATAAGATGTCAGCATACTTGGCTAGTGTTCCCCCTAGGTTTCGAGAAAAGCAGAAAATGAATGTGCAAAGGCATAGAAATAACAACCATGGGATGTGTCAAGGGTGAGAAATGCTAGCCAAACATAACTACGCTGCCTTATTTGCTGCCTTTCCCTCTAACTCTCAGTCAGGAAAGCTCATGCAGATGCTCAGTTGTTGCTCGGTTGGGCAGGATGCAATGGCTTCATTAAAGACAGCTCACTACAGCTGACTGACTTCACAACTCAACTGTTTTGATTCAGAAGTGAAAGCAAGAAGTGCAGTGGACACATGAACTTTCCTCTTGCACATTTTTATCAACAGTTGTGCTGTATCACAGTTTACTCACGGCATAAATCGCCTTCATCATCGCCGAGTGGACAGTCTACAGTGAAGTCACACAATCTGTCCAGTGGAATCCCAGGTCCCTGGTAACAGTGGTACCGGCCCTCCAGTGTGATGTTCAGGCCAGGTGAGGATGCTAGAAAGAGGGAAAGAAGAGAAAGAAAACTAATCATATTTAGTGTTTCTTCACACAGACATTGTTACAGTACACAGTGCAGTCTGTGTTTAGAAAATGATTTGCTTGTTGGCAGCAAAATCAGAAACCACAATGTAACAGCAACAAAAACATCTACTTTTGGTGCAGCCAAAAATAACTTCTGATTATGTTCAAAGATAACATATTGAAAGCTGCTGCTAGATTTATATGTTAGCCACAAAACACAGATCAGCAGCTCAGAGAAAACATAAATTCCAAACAGCAGAAAATATACAGTTATACATAAAAGTACGTCTGTCAAGTACAAGGTTAATACAACCCCTGACTTTAAACTCTATATAACATACACAAACTGCATGTAACATCATAAATAACTAGACCCAGGCTGCATAAGCATCTGGCTTTGAATACAGTACAAATCCATCAGAGAGGGAACACAAGAAGCAAAAACATTGACCTCGACACTGTAGCAGGTGGCACAATAGGAAGGAGCGTGCACACACACATACTTGTACTTCTATCTTTGTGAGGACACTCATTGACATAATGCATTCCCTAGCCCCTTACCATAACCTTAACCATTGGAACTAAAACCAAGTCTTAACCCTCCAAAAGGTGTGTCACAAAGTGAGGACCGTCCAAAATGTCCTCACTCTATAGCAAAAAATACTCTTTGGTCTTCACTATATAGCAAATACAGCACACAAACACTCTCATCACTGGGCTTAACAACTCAATTGTAACACAGGACATTTGCATATCTATGCAAATCAGCGATGCCGTATCTCCAGGTTGTGGAAACGAACTGCTCCCTTCCACCATAATCATCAAAAGCTGATCACACTAAAGAGAACAAAACAAAAATGAGGAGAAAAACTGTGTGCTGATGGGGATCTCGTTTTCCTCCACTCTCATAAGGAAAAAAAAGTGATTCTTATCATGAATGACTATCTCCGCTTACTATGGGTTGCCCTTGATCTCTATTATGTAGATTTGTTCTCTGTTCAGAAAAGCTTGGAGTCATAAGTCTGATAACGTTGGAGTCCATGACAGGAGAGGCAGCGCAGAGCAAATACTGTTAGCTGACCTGAATAGATAGGCAGTAATGCTAGAGTAATTTTAACATGAAGTCTGTAATGAATGTACACACTCCGTGTGACATGATGATACATCTTTGGGTGCCTGTTTTCTCAAGCTCTGACTGCATAAAACGTTTTAGGAGACATGGTGACCTAAGAAGTAGGGTATAAGGGAGGGGTGGTTTAAAAAACTGCAGTGGTATGTTACACATCATCAACAATCAAATATGTTCCCTTCAAAGTTTATCTGCGTTTGCAGTTTAGTTGCATACTGTAGGAGCATAGTTTTTATAGGAGAGGCTTATTTCTCCAAAGGAAAACCTACAAAATATGAAACTAACATCACAATCCACACAAAATATAATCACGATTTAAAGTGAAGCCAGACCACAGGACTTTTTCTTTACTTCTAAGTAGGCATTGTTGGGTAAAATTATTAACAAAGTCAAACTTTAAGGTTGATTCTAACATTTGATGAATTAAGAACTTAATTAGTAGAAGATTAACATTATGCTTGTTGATTAGTCAACCTGTGTGTTTACTTTGTTTGTGTATGGTAATTCTATCATAGTTAAGATTTAGTTTATAGCACACATAAGTTTACCTACTTTAATCTTACATTTATGTTTATGTAATTACATGTCACCTTATGTGTTCACTGAATCACTGGTCAGTATTTACTGTGTCAGTCAACTGGAGCACTGTTTAACATCAAGGGGGGACTGGTTCACTAAAACACTGAATTTCATTAGGTTTATAGCTTTGACAAGGAGGGTCCACAGATACTTTATTATCACCACCTGGCTGAAGAGGCCAGGGAATTTGGGGTATAGAGTGTAGTTAGTTAGTTGGAAACAAAGAGGTGAGTGTAGGAATTTAGACAGAGTAGGATTTCCTCCCTCTTTAGGAAGCTGCCTTTCCCATTGGAGCAGGAAGGATGCAGGAGGGGGACGGATGGATAGATGGACCAATGGAGCAACACGAGAGGACCAGACCAGCCTACAATTGCACATTTCAAATTGTATAAGTAACTGGGTTTCCAGGAGGGTAGGCGTTCCTTTGAGTTGAACGGTTTTGCTGTTGAGGTCAGGGCTTCAGATAGAGATGGAACCCAGAGCTCTGTACATTGCTTTATTCGATGGTCTGTTCAGTTATGATAATAAATGTTTGAAAGGTGATAGTTGACTCCAATTATTCTTCATAAAAGAACACGCTGCAGCATTCATATAGCAGCCTATGGGCTATGATTTGTGTGTGCACGGGGTGCTGTACCTGTGAGTGTAGGCTGAGCGCCACCTACAGACATTATACTGTAACACATGCCATGGTGCGGGAAAAATGACTAACAGTCACAAGTAGCCACTTGTATGGGTTGAGAGTGACACTTTGAATGCCTAGAACTGTACATTAAGGTGATAGGTTCACAGATACGTGGCAGGATATTATAAAGTATAGCATAATCAACACAAAACCTTTATAATGGTACAGTGTGTGTCAGAAGGAAGCATACGAAGCAACAAACACTGAACATGTCAAATACTATTAATCGGCATTGTTACTATTACTTTAAATGAATGAATGAAATGAAAGAATGAATGCAATGGATTTTGATCTGTATAATTGAAAGGAATTTGTTGACTTTTGTACTGGGATGTTAGAAGAAGTTAAAGACAACTCAGGACACGGGTTTCAGGCAATTTACTTAACAAGCTTGGGTGAACATTGCACATGCTACAGTATCGCAATATGGTACAATCTTCACAAAGAATAAGTTGGGTTTGTCCCATACTTGTGGTGCCCAGAGAAATCCCTGGCATCTACCTTTTAATTCTAGCCTGTCCTACTTACCTTTAATGGTGTGTTTAAATTTGTGTAGCACCTTGTACAGAGGCTAAAATGCAGGTTTTGAGGCCCCATGGAGTGTTCAGCTCAGGAGAATGGTTATGTTTAAAATACACATACACTTTGCTGTAAACATGAGTTTCAAATGTCTCAGCTATTCCTGGCATATGACCAGTCACATTTGATCACCTGCTGTTGCATGTAACACATATACAGTGGTGTGAAAAAGTGTTTGCCCCCTTACTGATTTCTTATCTTTTTGCATGTTTGTCACACTGTAATGTTTCAGATCATCAAACAAATTTAAATATTAGTCAAAGATAACACAAGTAAACACATCATGCAGTTTTTAAATGAAGGTTTTTATTATTAAGGGAAAACAAAATCCAAAACTACAAAACCCTGTGTGAATAAGTGTTTGCCCCCTAAACCTAATAACTGGTTGGGCCACCCTTAGCAGCAACAACTGCAATCAAGCGTTTTCGATAACTTGCCATGAGTCTGCCACAGCGCTGTGGAGGAATTTTGGCCCACTCATCTTGGCAGAATTGTTGTAAGTCAGCCACATTGGAGGGTTTTCGGGCATGAACTGCCTTTTTAAGGTCATGCCACAGCATCTCAATTGGATTCAGGTCAGGACTGTGACTAGGCCACTCCAAAGTCTTCATTTTGTTTTTCTTCAGCCATTCAGAAGTGGACTTGCTGGTGTGCTTTGGATCATTGTCCTGCTGCAGAACCCAAGTTCGCTTCAGCTTGAGGTCACAAACGGATGGCCGGACATTCTCCTTCAGGATATTTTGGTACACAGCAGAATTCATGGTTCCACTTATCACAGCATGTCTTCCAGGGCCTGAAGCAGCAAAACAGCCCCAGACCATCACACTACCACCACCATATTTTACTGTTGGTATGATGTTCTTTTTCTGAAATGCGGTGTTACTTTTACACCACACATAATGGGACACACACCTTCCAAAAAGTTCAACTTTTGTCTCGTCTGTCCACAGAGTATTATCCCAAAAGTCTTGGGGATCATCAAGATGTTTTCTGGCAAAACTGAGACGGCCCTTTATGTTCTTTTGGCTCAGCAGTGGTTTTCGTCTTGGAACTCTGCCATGCAAACCATTTTTGCCCAGTCTCTTTCTTATGGTGGAGTCATGAACACTCACCTTAACTGAGGCAAGTGAGGCCTGCAGTTCTTTGGATGTTGTTGTGGGGTCTTTTGTGACCTCTTGGATGAGTTGTCGCTGCGCTCTTGGGGTAATTTTGGTCGGCCGGCCACTCCTGGGAAGGTTCTCCACTGTTCCATGTTTTCGCCATTTGTGGATAATGGCTCTCACTGTGGTTCGCTGCAGTCCCAAAGCTTTAGAAATGGCTTTATAACCTTTCAGAGTTAAGTTATGTTTTGACAGGGGGGGGAAACACTTATTCACACAGGGCTTTGTAGTTTTGGATTTTGTTTTCCCTTAATAATAAAAACCTTCATTTAAAAACTGCATGATGTGTTTACTTGTGTTATCGTTGACTAATATTTAAATTTGTTTGATGATCTGAAACATTACAGTGTGACAAACATGCAAAAAGATAAGAAATCAGTAAGGGGGCAAACACTTTTTCACACCACTGTAGATGGTGAAATCCAAGACTCATGTTAAGCAAAATTACCAACTATACAAACATGACAAAAAAAGCACTGTATACAACAATGATCTCTTAAGAGATAAAAAAAAACAAACAAAAAAAAAAAAACAGAGAAAACACATTTTTTCTATAGAGCAGGCTGAAAGGGTGTTGTTTGAAGCTACAGCCTATTACACCTACAATACTCCTCTTACTTCACATCAGTTTTTTTTATCTCTTTACACAGAGTCAAATTTCAAGCAGAATTTATTTGCATTGCTTGATGTTTCTGTTGCTTTTAGTTAGGGAACTCGATATAGCAACCAGGAAATGGCAAGCCAAAATAAGTGGATGGCAGTATTTTATATTTATTTAACCATCTAGTAAAGTTACCCTGTATCTTTGCACATTGATTGTTCAAAACCCTTTTGTGTTTGA